CGAGCTTCCTCTCCAACTGCTGCTCCACCGAGTTTCTCGCGCACACGTCGATGGAAAAACCGGTGCTTAGTCGAGGAATACCGATAACGAAATAATAAAATGATCGAGCTGCGAGGGAGAGGGCCGTTCTGGCACTGGTCCAGCCAGCTTCCGGTATTCTCAAAGGCGTCACGAGCAGCGGACAAAGGAGAAGACGGTCTGAAAACTCGCAACGGCGAACAATATACCCTCTACGTGACTCATTTTCCACGCTGATTTCCCGCGAAATGACCGTTCCCATCGATTCCGACCCGTGCCAACGGATAAACCCGAAACGGGACGAGAGTATTGCCGAGCGAAACTTTTCCTCTCCTCGTATATAGACTGTGCTAATTTTTCCTTCATACAGTCTGTCACGATTCGTTCGGGAATCACCTATCAGGGGAGCAGATCGAATACAAAGTGAATCTCCGGGGCCTCGAGAGAGTAAAACGCTCGTCTCTCGTTTACTTTTCCCATTTCGAGTTTCCAGCAACTCGCCAGCATCCCGAGCAGCCACCAAAGCGGTAAACGCGTCGTCGAGGGTAATAAGGAATTCCTCTCCTCCGACCTCCCTCTGTTCCTACCGAGACGTTTCCCCGACGAATTTACCACTCGACCCACGTACACTGCGTTGCGAAGTGTATCGGGAGATGTAGATCGTGCGACGATTAATTTCGCGAAGATTGAACATGGGAGACGTAGGAAGAGGAGATAAAGAGATTCCATCAGTCAAACTCAAATTCATCGACTCTAACTCAAATATCCGCAGTGTTGACACTGGGACTATTAACGAAACGTGGTTCGCGAATCCTTCATCAGAGATTACGTCGCGAGGGGATGAATTTTGCGAAGATCGAGAAGACGGGATAATTGGTGAAAGGGGAATAAGAAGATTAACCCTTTTGCCACGGTGGGCGTCGTCGCGGTGTCCCTCCTGAGGAACGAAGCATCGTGTCAAAGATGGAAACATTACGCGCATGCTGTCTTTAGCATTCGGGACCAAATCTTTCGAAAAAGAAAGAAAAAGAAAAAGAAAAACCGATCATCGCAATAACGCTTGCAATTCTTTGCGAAGAGAACTAAGCGGAATAGTAATAGCACTTGTCTTAACTCTTTAGCCTACAACCACGTGTGAGGCTCGTGGTCAGATTTTCGAGACAAATCTGATTATCACGAGCCTGGCCCGTGGTACATCGATCGGGTCGAAACTGACTATCACGGGCCTGGCACGTGGTACATCGATCGGGTCGAAACTGACTATCACGGGCCTAGCACGCGGTACATCGATCGGGCCAAATGTAAACACCGCTTGTCACGCCAATGATTTGTCGATGTGGAATGGCTCGAAGGCTCAATCACGCTGTTGAATCTTAAATCGTAGGGCAAGGGGTTAATTTTTGGCACAATTTTTGTGCCCGGTGACTACAGACACTCGTAATAGCGAAAAGATTAATAAAGTAACACTGGAACTATCAGAGAAACGTGGTTCACGAATCTTTCGCAATGGAGTCTTCATCGCGAGAGGGTTAATTTTGCGCGGAATAAACGCGCGAAATATAGGGGTGAATGGGGAAACGGAGAGATTGATTCTTCCCCGGGTCAAACATCGGCTCTAAATAGGGGAAAGTGTGGACACGCTGCGACTACCAGCGAAATATGGTTTACGAATCGCCGGTGTGGAATTTACATCGCGTGCAACTTGTACACGTGGAGGAACGTTATATTTCGCTGGTCGAGGGCAGCACGATGTCGTGCACAAGGCGGTCTCAATGTAAATACGGACGAGTCGGGACCAGTGAAATATCGCGGCTGGGTATCGACCGACAATGGACGGAAGGTAGAACACAATCGCATCGTGTCCGCGAGGGTATCGATAAACGGCCTCGACAGGGCCTGCAGAAAACCTAACTCCGCGTTTAAAGCGTCCCCTTCGATCCCCAGTGGTTACGTTATTGCTCCGACGATACGCTCTTGAGCTCGCCATCGTCTCGACGTTAACGTACGAGTGGAATTTTCTTCGCTCGCGAGGAAAGGATTATTCTTTTAAGAAACGAATTGGGCTCGTTGCTTCGACTAGTGGGCTGGAAACTAGGTACCACAGTGAAATAAGGAATATGTAGGCACGCTTGTGGCAAGCTTAAACGCTTCTAAGTGGAGTCAAAATGGCAGGAGACTGGGTGCCATTTTCTCTTTTCTTTCTCCAAGCTGTTAATACTCGAGTCATCGTTTAGAGAACCTATAATTATCAGAGGAGAATTGTTTCGTACCATGAAACGGCGAATTGGTAAAATCAAATTTGATGTCTATGTTTTCAAAAGAAGTAAAGCTTCGAAGACCTCTAATTGCTAGAGGTAAATTGCTAGAGGTAGATTATACGATACCATTTCTCCTCATCGTTAATACTTGGGTTGACCGAGTCACTGTGCAGAGAACCTATAATAATCAGATGTGAATTATTTGGTACCATGAAACAGTGATACAGGGGCGAATTGGTAAAGTCAAATTGACCAAATGTAGGCACTAGGTGTCTATGCTTTCGAAAGAAGAAAAGCTTCGAAGACCTCTAATTGCTAGAGATAAATTGCTACAGGTAGATTGCTGGATACCACAGTGATGACGTACCAGTGATGATTGAATAGAAATAAAACGAACTAAATGCAGATTTACGCATTATCCACGCCGTTAATACTCTGGTTGACCGAGTCACCGTGCAGAGAACCTATGATAATCAGAGGTGAATTGTTTGGTACCATGAAACAGTGATACAGGGGTGAATTGGTAAAGTCAAATTGACCAAATGTAGGCACTAGGTGTCTATGCTTTCGAAAGAAGAAAAGCTTCAAAGACCTCTAATTGCTAGAAGTAAATTGCAGGATACCACAACGATGATGTACCAGTGATGGTTAAATAGAAATAAAACGAACTAAATGCAGATGTACGCACACGTCGCGTGAAAGCCACCTGGAGCTACGTAGTGTCAAAGAACATAGCGCTTAATCGACTTTGCGGAACGAGGCGTTTCCTCAGCGACTGCCTGCCATCCGCGAAGTATCAAACTGGCAACCATTCTGCTCGTTTCCTCCTTTGTTTTTCCCCTGCGTGGTTAATAATCCAGCTAATCGGACTAACGTTCAGCGCAAAGAGGTCTATTGTTAGGCGCACGTGGAGAAAACAGTCGTGGAGTAACGCTACTATCAGCCAACTGTTGCTCTGCAACACCTGACCAGCTGCCAACGCGTAGCTACAGGTACAGCACGCTTTTCCGCGAAAATTTATCGACGCTTCTGCACGCTTCCTCGAAATCGATCGCAACCGGCACGAAACGTCGTATCCTCGGCCACTGGGCAAGATTTATGCCTGGTTCGATGCTCATCTCGAGATGGGAACCCCGATGAGACGACGTGGGAGACTTCTAGGTAACGACTAGTCAAAATAGCGAGCTTCTCGCGAAATTCTCCGCTCCTCGAGCAAAAGTGGAACGCGTGGGTTCCTAGAGAAGTCGAAGCACGTTTCGGGGAATGGGACAAAACGACGACGCGTCGTGGATAAGCTCGAACAGCCTTCCCCATTGTGGAATACCTCGATCGAGGCTGAAAATTCGATCCTCGCGAGTCCTCGCAGAAAAGCTACGCGAATTTCCAGGACGAATGTAGAGTGCCGCGTGGGCGTAATGTAAGGTCGACACGCGCGTCTAGGCTCTGTCAACCGACCGCATAAATGCCGTGCCATTTCCTCCCGTACCGGGAAATGGTAAACAGCGAACCACGTCGTGAAAATCGGCCGGCCGATAAGGCCACCGTACACCTTCCATTATTAACGCAAGAATTATGCATTCCAACGCTCGTCCATCATGTCCGAGTCCGTAAAACGGCGAAATGCCAAGGTGTACCGAGCCGGTGTACAGTCTGAGCCTGTGGCGCTAGGTCAACCTCTTCGTATTCCGCGTGCATTTGCTCCCCGAGGTACGAACGGCGGTAGTTAGATATACAAAAGAATGGAAACTTGGGGAAACCTCGTTACCGAGTTTCGCATCATCCACACGCTCCTCTCCCGCGGGTGCTATTAATCCGCGTCTACGCGAACATGTTTCATTCACGGCCGATACGGCGAGAGTAAAATGCAAGTTTAAACGAGTTCCCGACACGCTTCCGGGCATGTCCTTTCAACGGCGACTAAATAATTTAACGCGAGGTTCTTCGTGGCAGAGACGTAAACGTCCGATTCCGCGCGTGTCGCGGGACGCGCGTTCGACCGGCTTATTTCGCGATAACAGTTTGTCCGCTCGTTAAATTTCAGCCGCAGACCGGGATAGCGGAGCGTTAGCACGCGAATGAAACGGGAAGGAGGAAAAAGGATGTGGGGCAAAAAGCGAGCGCTCGCTTTTTTCCTGCCCCCTTTTCCGGAAAATGAATTACGCCTGGTCGCGGCCGAGCACGAAAGCGAAGTTTCTAAAAAATTAAGCGGCAATCGGCGAACACTTTGGTGGAACTTTCGTTCTCGCGCAGGACAAGGGTCTCTCATAGCCAGGAGAGTAATTGCGACCAGGGACAGGTTGTGAAAAAGTCCATTTTAACGAGCCGTGCACAGCTGCATAGACACGCGATCGTTATTACATAGCAAATTGAAAAATGCACAGTGCACGCCGCTAAATATACTCGTCGTTCTTATTCCTGGTCACGGTGCTACACGCGTCGCGGGTCTACGAGCAGCGTAAATAAATCAACGTGTCGCGATTATCGTCGCGAAACTTTTCCCAGCAACGCGACGGCAACGGTCGATACCGGCTTACCGGGGAGGACTCTATCTCGTCGGGATGGACTCTCTGGGCCCCCTAACAGTGACAGCAACGCTCGACGCGCACGGCGAATGGACCCTGCTGAGTGGATAGAGCGAATCTCGATACTCCTGAAGCGACTGTAACGCTCGATACGCTTATACCAAAAGGACTCCGCTGTGTCCTGTACTCGGGTAACGCTTACCTAGTCGAGTGATCGACGAAGGATCCACCGTCGAGAAGTCTGAGCTTCGCGAACAGCACTGCGTTCACGAAGGACACCGCGGTGAGCTCCTCCAGGTCCACCTCCACCGAGAATTTGTACTTCTTCTTCTTCATCATGAAGGCCATCTCACTAAGACCGAGACACTTCACTTTGACCACGAATCCCTTACCCGTGGCTAAACTCCACCTGGAGAACGTTCGCGATTCTCCAGCTTCCTTACTCTGCGATCCTCGAGGATTTTCTCGAGCGGAGAACGTACACGGTACACGGCACGCGCGAGCAAAGCGGAAATTGTGCACTAAATGCGACCATTTAACGTGGCCCTTCTTTCTTCTCGCTGACTGCGGCTAGGCGACTCTCGGCGTACCGTTTTCCACTAATTACGTTACTATCTACGAAAATATCTTTTTCTTCTCGCGTTTTCTACTTCGCTACGCGGAGGGAAAAAAAGGAAAGAAAAAGAAGGCAGTTCCACGATTCTCCCGTTCCTTTGCGGTCGTCGTCGTCCGGTCGTGCAAACGATCGTCCAACGACCGTTTCCCTCGCGTATTCGTTTTACAGGCTGGTCGATCTCGAACGACGAAGCTGAACACTTGAAGCCGGCTGGGCGGATCTCGTTCGAAGCTTCACCGACATCGCTGCTCTCGTAGCAACAGGGACGTGGCCTTCCGCGATCCTCTCTAGGTGCCGACACTCAGAAACGGCAATTACTCGTGCACGCCATCCTCGTCGCCGAGACTGCAAATTAAAGCGAATTTATCGTCTCTCGATAACAACGACTGTCCAACAATCATGGCCGCGGTGTTTCGCCTACGCCGTTAACCCCGAAAATCCCTAGGGGGTTATGCCTTTCACCGAACGGCTGCTTCCTCGAACTCGCGCCACTTTCTACGTATTTTTCCTTAATAAATTCCAGTTTCCGCGAAGTTAACCTAAAAAATCTCTAAGTCTATCGCTAAACGGGTGGTTCCTAGAACTCGCATCGCTCTCTACGTATTTTTCCTTAGAAATTTCCAGTTTCAGCGAAGTTAATCCTAAGCCGTTCACCAAAGGCGTGGTTTCTCCAACTCGCGCCACTTTCTACGTATTTTTACATAAAAAATACCAATTTTCGCGAAATTAACGTCGGAAATCCCTAAGCCTTTCACCGAAGAGGTGGTTCCTCGAACTCGCGCCACTTTCTACGTATTTTTCCTTAATAAATTCCAGTTTCCGCGAAGTTAACCTCAAAAATCCCCAAGTCCATCGCTAAACGGGTGGTTCCTAGAACTCGCACCGCTCTCTACGTATTTTTCCTTAGAAATTTCCAGTTTCCGCGAAGTTAATCCGGAAAATCCCTAAGCCGTTCAGCAAAGGGGTGGTTTCTGCAACTCGTGCCACTTTCTACGTATTTTTCCATAGAAAATACCAATTTTCGCGAAATTAACGTCGGAAATCCCTAAGCCTTTCACCGAAGAGGTGGTTCCTCGAACTCGCGCCACTTTCCACGTATTTTTCCTTAATAAATTCCAGTTTCCGCGAAGTTAACCTCAAAAATCCCTAAGTCCATCGCTAAACGGGTGGTTCCTAGAACTCGCATCGCTCTCTACGTATTTTTCCTTAGAAATTTCCAGTTTCCGTGAAGTTAATCCTAAGCCGTTTACCAAAGGGATGGTTTCTCCAACTCTTAGAACTCGCATCGCTCTCTACGTATTTTTCCTTAGAAATTTCCAGTTTCCGCGAAGTTAATCCTAAGCCGTTTACCAAAGGGATGGTTTCTCCAACTTGTGCCACGTTCTACGTATTTTTCCATAGAAAATACCAATTTTCGCGAAATTAACGTCGGAAATCCCTAAGCCTTTCAGCAAAGAGGTGGTTCCTCGAACTCGCGCCACTTTCTTCGTATTTTTCCTTCAAAAATTCCAATTTCCGCCAAGTTGCACCACAATTGCGCGTGTTAACCATCAAGAAACGCGTACCCTTTACCCTACGGAACGGTATTTACACGCGTACCGAAATCCCGCCACCAGTTCTAGGGTTGAAGGGATCTTCCGCTAATCCGGGTTGGCGAGGACCGCTTTGGGATTTTTTTTCGCGGCTGCCATAAGACTTTCACCCTCAGGGGTTTCGTGCTCTTGTTCAATCGTGTTTGCAGAATACTCGGGGTTTTTTTCTCCATCCAAGAGTAAAAATCGTAGGAATTATGTAACACATGCACACTAGGCACGAATACCGATCTTCCTCTGCTTCTTCGCTGCACGTGTTCGTAATTGGACGACTATAATTTCATCAAACGGGTTCACAGACACGTCCACGGACGTGCAAAGTTTAAAGAGGAAGAAGCATTGATTTTTCGCCGCGGATTCGTGGAAGATCCCCTTAACCGAGTTACAACATGCGTGTTCGAGGCGATATCGGCCAAGAGTAATCCGTGAGTCACGTATCTGGGAGCTTTCATGGGAAAGGCATCGGAAAAGGAACGATTAGAGACGCTACTAAATCTCCGATCTACTTCTGGAAACGTTTCAAACAGTTAGCTCGTATCTGATCTCGAAGTTATAGTTACTTGGAACGATACAGCGGGCTTGTAAATTATCGTGTTAAGCGATTGATGCCGAAACGACACCATCCGAGTCGCGAATGCTGCGAGCCTGGGGTTTCTGCCTCTGGCTGTTTAACGCCGGGCAATAAAACGGGGGAAAAATCGTTAATTAACTTTGAATTTCAACTTAGTTCATTAACTGCCACTTGCTGGCAATTTACTGCCAATAAATCCTATTTAACACCACAGCCACCGACCCGTAATGCGTGTTTAACCCTTTTACTGCCGGCCAGCAAGGCACTCGGTGCTTCTACGAAAACTGCTACCAGTCGACATGTTGCTCCCGTTTCTTCGCGATCGGACGATTAATTAAACGTCTTCTCGGATTTGAACATAGCGGGGATGGAAACGCGAGTAATTTCTGATAGAGATTCGCCAGTGGGGGACTGCGTGAAAATTTATGAGCCCACTGGCTTTTATCGTCTGTGTCTAACGAGAGAATGCGTAACAACGTGCGTGAGATTATCATTGAGATTATACTATTATAATCGCATCCAATTCTGTTATTATGGTTGCTTATATTACTAAATATATTCCATTTAATTATCAATCATCTCTAATCCGCATCCTCCAAGTTCGAGGAGAGTAAACGGTAAAATTTCGCAACTGGAAATATAGCTAATTCAAAGATTCTTTTTGCCGCAAAATCGACGATAAATGATATTTTTTAGAATAATAAATAAGAGATCGTGTAGATGTTAACGCGTAGAATTATTTTGTTTCGATATTTCACGCGCTGTTGCGTTATCTTAAATTTAATACGTTGATAAATATCAATCTTCCGAATTTTATTAAATCTCCAGTGAAAATGGTTAATACCTATTTATCCAAACTGTACGGTATACTATACGGTCTGCGCGATTTTAGTCGGTAAATAAAAATTGCTCCTCGACTGCTTAAAACAGGAATTGAATAATCGCGAGTTAGGGGGAGCCGTAAGATGACAAACCTAATTATTTCTCGCGCAAGTGGACGCGTCGAGGACATGCGAGGTCAATTTCCCTGTTTTGTGGGAGTAATTTTCGTTCCTAAATGCGTGTTAATTGCCAAAGCTGAGAAACAAAGCAACCATTCGCAAACCGTGTGAAAAATATGCATTATGGTTAATAACAACACGAAAATCTCGCATAAATCCTATTTCCAATTTTAACCTGTGAGGATATAACTTGACACAGGTATCAAGCACCAGAAGTGACAGTAAAGTGGTCAACTGATTAAGGGATGATTCTCTAATACTTTAAATCGTCGATATAGAAAGAAAATCGATATAGAAAGAAAATCGATATAGAAAGACTAAATAGTGACACAGGTATCAAGCACCAGAAGTGACAGTAAAGTGGTCAACTGATTAAGGGATGATTCTCTATTACTTTAAATCGTCGATATAGAAAGAAAATCGATATAGAAAGACTAAATAATTTACAACGTCACAGCTGATCCGACAATTTTATTTTAATTTGAAAAACTGATCCGACAATTTTATTTTAATTTGAAAATAAAATACTGGTGCGATTCTTCCTGTGCGATATGCAAATACAGCGTGACAGTCAACGTTGTTAACCCGTGAGAGATTCAACAACTGGAGGGATGGATGTAAGTGTGTATATTGATAGAATTTGAGATGACAGTGGAGTTAAAAAGGAAGGAACACTAATTATAGAAAGGCAATGCTTTAATAATTGGTAACTCGAAATAATTGGTAAATTAACTGCTTAGAGACTGATTCGTTTGAACAAAGGAATTTGGCTGGCGACCGACACGTACACAATCATACATTAGTATGTAATAATCAAAAACATTTTAACACATTGCATACGACACTCTGCGTTTTGGGTGATCCAGGAACACTTTATACGATGCATATATGCACTTTTTTAATTCGCATTTGGTATTACAGGTAACCCTCCTATAACACGGTAGATAGGTTCCTAGGAAATGTCGTGTTACGTGAAACCGTGTTGTATGAGACCCAGAGCCAGTACAAAAAGGAGGATTACGTTCCGAAAACTTACTAAAAACAATTGTTGTATGAGACCCAGAGCCAGTACAAAAAGGGGGATTACGTTCCGAAAACTTACTAAAAACAATTTTTTTTTTTAATTCTACGTAAACGACTTAATTTTTATTAAAAATATAAATGTATGTACAACACAAAACAAATCAAAAACAAAAATATTATTTTAATTTAATGCAACTTTAATTTAATAAATTTCTTCGTCGTCACTGCTCGTGTAGAAGTACAGTGTTGTACAAAAGTTTTTACAATTTTCTTATTGTGATAGAAACCGTGTTATAGGAGGGTTCTCGCAATTTATGAATCGTGTTATAGGATGCCGTGTTGTAGGAGGGCTACCTGTACATTCGCATAAGGTATTCTTAAATATTAATTTATATATGGGAGACTTCGTTAGCCTGGTAACATAACGAGAAAATCTATTTTCGAATTCCTTAAATCATCGATTGAGTCGAAGAAACCTGAAAACGAGATATCTAGTCATCCATACGCAATGTGTTAACCCTTTGCACTCGACGATTTTTTGGCCAAAGAAGGATAGGGGTTCAAAGATTTTCTGT